TCGGCGGTTCAAGCTCACCAGCTGCTCCTCAGACAACATGGCTGATGAATGTATCTTAGTTTATCTCGTGTTGCTATGGCAGAAATACCACAAGTGGGTGATTTTAACAAACAGAAATTTATGTTCTCACAGTTTAGGGCTCTAGGGAAAGAGTTTCTTTCTCTGTTGACTCTGGAGGAAGAACTTGCCTCTTCTGAATTTCTGGTCATGGGCAGTCTTCATGTGCCTTGGCATTCACTCCTACCCCCATCTCTGTGCTGCTCCCTGGTTTAATCTTTTATATCTTAAAAGAAATTGACTTAAGGTATTCCCTACATTAATCTTGCTTCATTAATACAACAAAGACTGCCCATTCCCAAATGAGATTGTAACCAAAGACATGGTACTGTTGTTAGGTGCCAGACATGATGTCCTTTCCTAGGGACTGTTAGCTCCTGACATTTCCAGACTACAAGACACAAAGTCTCACCATCCTTACTTCTAAGTAGCATTCTGGCTGCACATCTTCAAAGAAAGAGTTGTTTGTTCTTCTGCCAGTCCGTGGTACTTTCTTCGCCAACACCATAATTCAAATGCATCAATTCTGCTCTGGTCTTCCTTATACATTGCATAACTTTCACATACTGTGAGGTGATTGAGAATACCACAGTGGGGTCAGGTGCTCCTTAGCTCTTAAAATGACATCTTTCCTCTTTAACACTTTAGATTAAGAGGTCTTTTGTCACAGATATGCCTGATGCAATATGCCTTTGGTTTCTTGACTGATGCTTCCATGACTTTTGATTGTGGATCCCAGTACAATGAAGTCTTTGACTCAGTTTGTCATGATGATATTTATAGGTCCACTTTTGAGAAATTGTGTTTTCTTTATATTGCGATGCAATCCATACTGCAAGCTGTAGATTTTGATATTCATCAGCAAGTATTTATAGTCCGTTTCTCTTCCAACAAACAAGGTTGTGTTATCTGCATATTGCAGGTTGTCTTCCACCAATCCTGATGCCATGTTCTTCTTCATATAATCCAGTTTCTTGGATATGTGTTCAGCATAAATTGAATAAGTATGGAGAAAGAATACACCCTGGTGCACACTTTTCATGATTTTAAACCAGTCGGTATCCCCTTGTTCTGTTCTAATGACTGACTTTTGGTCTTTGTGCAGGTTTCTGATGAGCATAATTAAATGTTTTGGGATTTTCATTCTTCTCAGTGTTAATATCCATAGTGTGTTATGGCACACACAGTCGAATACCTTTTGCATAGTCAATAAAGCACAAGTAAACATCTTTCTGGCATTCTCTGCTTTCTTTCAAGATTCATCAGCAAGTATATTCCTCGTTCCACATCCTTTTTTGAATCTGGGTTGAATTTCTGGTAGCTCCCTTTTGATATACTGCTGCAACCATTTTTTAATTATTTTGAGCAAAATTTTGCTTGCGTATGATATTAATGATATTGTTCAATGATTTCCTCATTCCATTCAGTCACCTTTCTTTGAAATGGGCACCAATGTGGATTTCTTCCAAGAAATTGGTCAAGTAGCTGTTTTCCAAATTTCTTGGTGTGAACAAGTGAAGTCCTTCAACACTGCATCAATTTGTTGAAACTTTTCAACTAATATTCTGTCAATTCCTGGAGCCATGTTTTTACCAGGGCCTTCAGTGCAGCTGGGACTTCTTCCTTTGGTACCATCTTAAAATGCTACCTCTGGAAATGTTTGGACATTGACCAATTCTTTTTGGTACAGTGACTCTGTGTATTTTCCTTCCATCTTCTTTTGATGCTTTATGCATCATTTAATATTTTGCCCAGAGACTCCTTCTCTATTGCAAATTAAGGCTTTTTATTCAGTTCTGTAAGCTTGAGAAGTGCTGAGCATATTCTTCTCTTTGGTTTTCTAACTCTAGTTCTTTGCACATTTCTTCCAGTTGCATTGGATTCTCTTTGTTCAAGAGCAAGTTTCAGAGTCTCTTCTGACATCCTTTTGATCTTTTCTTCCTTGATTTTTAATGATCTTTTGCTTTCTTTTTATATGATGATCTTGCTGTCATCCCACAACTCCTCTGGTCTTCTGTCTTCTCTCAGTGCATCAAATCTGTTCTGAATTCAGGTGGGATATATACAAGGTTATATTTTGGCTCTCATAGACTTTTAAATTTTTCTTCAGTTTCAGGCTTGCATATAAGCATTTGATGGTCTGTTCCATCGTTGGTTCCTGACCTTGTTTTGGCTGATGATACTGAGCTTCTCCATCATCCTTTTCCACAGATATGATTGATTTGAGGGAGCACAGTGGCTCCATACAATAAGCACTGGACTGTATACTACAAGGTCAGTGGTTTGAGCTCACCAGCTGCTCTTTAGGAGAAAGATGAGACTTTCTACTTCTAACAAAGGAAACCTTATACAGGATCTCTATGACTCAATATCAACTTGACAGCACTTAACAACAACTGATTAATATGTTCCATCTGGCAAGATCCACATGTATAGTGCCTATTTATGTTGTTGAAAAAAGGTGTTTGTAGTAAATAAGTCACTGGTCTTGCAAAATTCTATCATGTGATAGTTTCTATCACCAAGGTCATATTTTCCAGTTACCAATCCTTCCCTTTTGTTTTCAACTTTCACATTCTAATTGCAGTAAATATCAGTGCATCTTGATTGCGTGTTTAATGATCAATTTCAGACTGAAGAAATTGGTAGAATTCTTCAATTTTATTATCATTGGTTTTAGTGATTGGTGCATAAATTTGAGTCATAGCCATATTAGCTGATATTCCTTGTTGGTGTATGGATATTATCCTATCACAGACAGCATTGTACTTCAGTAGATCTCAAAATGCTGTTTTTAATGATGGATGTGACTCCATTCCTCTTCAATTTGTTTATTCTGGCATGGTAAACCAGTTAATTGTTAGATTCAAATTGCTCAATACCTTTCCATTTCAGTCCACTAATGCCTTTAATATTAATCTTTATGAACGCCATTTCAGTTTTGAAAACTTCCAATTTTGCTAGATTAGTGCTTTGTACATTCCATATCCCAGTTATTAGCAAATTTTTGCAGCTATTTCTTCCCATTTTGAGTCATGCTCTGTCAGAAAATCAAGCTCCTGAAAGCTTAACTCCATCCACATCATTATGGTCAACTCTACTTTGAGGAGGCAGCTCTTCCCAATCACATTTTTAGTGCCTTCCAACCTGAGGGGTTCATCTTTTGACACAGTATTAGACAATAGTCCACTGCTATTCATAGGTTTTCAGTGGCTAACCTTCAAGAAGTCATGTGCATCTTCTTATCCTGGAAGCTCATCTGAAACCTGTCTACCATGAGTGACCCTGCTGGCATTTAAAGTACTGATGGCATAGCTTCCAGCATTACAGCAGCACATGAGCCACCACAGTACAGCAAACTGACAGCGGAGTTGTGGAGCCATCAGCACAGCGGTATAGGATTTAAGATGCATATTTTGGGGGCCATAATTCAGCCCATAGTAGTCTTAAAATAAAGAATGTGTAAAACTTACTTAAAGCACTTGGTCAAGTCACAGTAAACTGACTTCAAACATCCTATTTTACTGCAGAGAGTCTGTAGTTCGCCAGGCTAGGTTCACAGACCACATCAACTGTTACTAACAGCTTTGGACAAAACACTTCATCTTTTAAAGTCTTGAGTTTTTCAACTGTAAAGTGGGGATCGTGTCAGAATATATCCCATAGGATAGAAATAATACTTGGTAGTTATTAAGTGCTCAGTAAATTTTAGCTGTTATTATCATCATTAGTAATAGTAGTGTGCATGTTGTTATTGTTGTTGTTTTGTGCCATCGAGTTGGTTTTGACTCATAGTGACCCAGTATAGGATTTCCAAGGAGCAGCTGGTAGGTTTGAATCACTAACATTGCAGTTAGCAGTCCAGTGCTTATCCTACAGCATCACACCAGGGGATGTATATTGTTGTTAAGTCCCATCCAGTCGGTTCCGACTCATAGTGACCCTATATAGGGTTCCCAAGAGTAGCTGATGGGTTTGAACTGCCAACCTTGCAGTTCAAACTGATCTTTTGGCCCAATGTTTGTATGCTGTTAAATGCCACCATGTCGGTTCTAACTCATAGCGACTCGGTGTAGGGTTTCCATGGAGTGGCTCACGAGTTTGAACTGACGACCTTGTGGTTCAGCCAACCTTGCAGTCCAATGTTTATCCCACAGTGCCACACCAGGACTCTATATAACTGTTAGTATATGTGTGTAAACTTACTATTGTGTCTTATGGTTACTTTTTATGAATAAAGCAGGGGGAGTAAGTTGAACTGCAGTTGTTTTTTATGCTTTTAAAATGGAAATGTCAGGACAATTGTTTTACAGAGAATATGGTAGCATTGGTTTAGTTTGTGGCCCATTCCTTGCCTTGGAAGCTGCTCTCACTGTTGTGCTATATCGGGGCCCCAGAGACGAAGACTGTCATTGGTGAACCCGGGATCCCTGCATGGTACACAAAATCTGTTTAGGTTAAGGAGCCTGTGGATGCTCAGTGCGGCTATCACACACCTTTCTCAGGTGAACTGTAGAAAATATTTTCCAGAGATAAACCATTGGGTGTAATAAATAGTTATGCTTAAAATGACTAACTGCTCTTGTGCCAAAGAAGTTTTGATAGTATGTACCTCAAGGTGTCAATTCGTCAGTGAAAAAGGTGTAATTCTTCTGCAAGTAGAATGGGTTGCTAGTTTGCTGACATGGGATTAGAGTTTTTAAAATAGTAACTGCTGCTGTTAAATATTTTTCAGAAAGTCACTTTCCAATTGTTACCCTAAAATACTTTTTCTCCTCACCCCACCTGTAAGGCACACAGCAGATTCTTCTGTACTGGATTTTCTCATCTCATTCACCTGTTAAATACCAAAGTTGGTGGGCAACTATGTCAAACAGAATTTTCATACATCATTTAATGGCAAGAAATGTAGAACAAATGAATATGAGTCTGTTCTTTCATAGGCCAAAGCTTACCTGAAGATTGCTGAAGAAGTGGTGAGAAGACTGCCCCCTCCTGCAGAATGAATCTTCAAGTGTCCTGGAAATTTGTCTGGAACTTGACAAGATGACCTGTGGATATTAGCAGGGCGATGGTGGACTCTATAGAGATGGTAGCAATCAGAGTTGTTTTCTTGTATGCTAAGGAAATAATGTCTTATCTTCAGGCTTGATTTGCTAACTGATGATTCACAAATAAAATTTTTATGTAACAATGCTAATTGCTGTGTGTAAGAAATCTTCTTTTGAAAACTTTTATGTACCAAATCTAACCGCACAGAATCACATTTTATTTTATTGAACTAACCTCTAAGGAATAATGAGTTTATAATGTTACAAGCCCTCCAACCCACAGTTTAGAAGAGACCTAACTGTGCTCTTTTTTCAAAACATCAGAGTTGGTCAGTTATAGGATTTACTAAGTTTGTGTAGGGACAAAATGTATTTCCTCCCCACCAGGCTTTTTGGCCTGGGTTTAAATCCTACCTCTATACTGTCTTGGATATTTTATTAATTTATTATTTATTTATTTATTTTTACTGTTTTATTGTGAATTTATGTGATCGTTTACATGGGAGAAGATTAGCATTACATTCATCCTATCATATATCGTTTCATTGCCATGGTTACAGTCCCTTCCATGCATCATCAACCAACCAAAGGGTATACCCTGCAAGCCTGCCTCCCAGTCAGTACACAGCCCCTCTCCCTCTCTGTGTCTAAAGTCCCCAACTGCTCCATCTCCACGTCATCATCTCTGCCTCCATCTCTGGCATCACTGCTTCTCTGGGTAGGGCCTAGAGTCAGTGG